TTTCCTCCTTGGTAACTCAACTGCCGTGACCTTGTTTCCCTATGTGTTTTCTATAAATATTTTCATGGCAATTGTTATAATGTGCATTCTTCATTGGTATCAGGACACGTGTTTAAGCGTAGTACTGATTTAATGACTAGGTCTCATAGTGATTTTAATACCTGCATATAAACGTAAAATATCTTCAAATAGTTTCTTTTTTCGCATTTCTCTCCTATGGAAATTTATATCCGTTTCTTCTCTTCATGTCACCTACGAGACTAAAAACATTAAATGCAACGCCAATCAACGTCTTCTAACTACCTGGACCCTGTTATTTTATTGTCATTTCTCCTCACTAATGTATTTCCATTCTTTTTTTACCAGTAACAGATGGTGTTCTCGCCGTGTTTGGAGTGAGATTATTTAAAAACAAATATCGACAGAGAGATCGATAGTGATATAAAACAAAACACACACTGACATATATTTATGTATATTCATAAAAAAATTATATTTGTTTATATATATATATATATATATATATATATATATATATATATATAAGAGCAACATCATGAAATACTGCATTTGAAAAGACGAAGAAAGATGAAAGCTAATATGTTCAAAGTTCTTGGCTGGGAATAAACTCTGTGCTTAGCGACTTCAAAAAGATTCAAATGATGGGCATATTTAATAGGATATGAAATGCCATATTTTTTTATTTCTTTTTAGACAAAAAAAGGCAATTACAGCTCGTCTTACTTTAAAGGTAGTTACGATAATTCTTTTTGAAACTACCATAAGTTAATATTCTAGTCACTGTTACAAACCAAATAAAAAAAAGCCCATAGCATTACGATAATAAATAATTAATTTATATTGGATGATAATGAAACTCTAAATAAAATATAAAGTAGAAAGCGATGAGAAGAATGAATATTTCTTCTCTGGAAAGAGATTGCTTTGAAATTTTTGGTTGGAAAGTAAATGAACAAAAGGAATAAAAACATCAACTCTATAGATTCGATTCTGCATAATATTTCTCTTTTATATTTCTCAGATATCAAAAGGTTTATGAGACATTTAATAAAACGAACACTTTAGATCCAGAGTGCTGGTAACATGAATCAAGTTTTCTTTAAGAAAGCAAACATATCTGAAATCTATAAAAGTGTAAGAGACAACTGCTATTATTTCGGGAAACAAATAACGCCTGTAGTTAAAAGGTATTTTCTTGGAATCTTTATACCATACTAGCAGCATGGCCCGGTGTTGCCCGGGCTTGATTCAAAAATCGTACGACTCATACAGCAATCGCTATCACTTGACTTAAAATATTTTTGTCCTTCTTTGTCTTTAAAGGAGTGCCCTTTGACGTGCTGATGTTGCTACATGCCTTAATCCTTGCCTATCTCACACTTCGAATTTTTTCTAAGCTCTATACTAAACATTAAATCTGTTACGAAAAACGAACTAAACAAAAAGAACACAAAACGATCAGCTTTAAAAAAAGGACTCTTTACTGGAAAAACCGAATGAAAAAGAATGTTAACAACAAATACTTTTTCACACCCAACCCAGTTCTGCGGAATCAGAATCAACGTGGAGTTTAAGCAAGCCAATGAGCCAATTCGAGTAAAGTGCCATGCAGATTTAAATTTTTCCCACTTGTGACGAATGCAGCTATCGATTTTTTTTGCGTGCTAGCATGCTAGTTATTATTCGTGTCAGTGGGCTGTTGGCTCTCACGCTGGCCAATAAAATCTTCCTGCCTATTCGTGGCAGCCAGCTATAGGCTCTAAACTCTGGCCATTACAAAATGGCCGCAAAGTACATGAAAAACTGCCGTAGAAGCATGAAAAAATCGATTATTTCCACTATCGGTGGGAGTTGGGAAATGTAAAGTCGGTCTTGGCCTTCCTGCTAACTTGGAGCATGTGCATGTAAATTTTGGCGCAAATCCGTCGAAAATTGCGACCGTGCATTCGTTACACACACACACACACACACACACACAAACACACACACACACACACACATCCTACCTTTTATAGATAGAGATATACCCGCGTATCATGCGATCTTTGAAAACCTAATTTTGAAGATAATTTGACAACGGTAACTGTATATACTCCGAGGTCAATGGCCTAACCAGGGGCTGGCCCTGGTTAGGCCATTGACCTCAGAGTACATACATACTACATACGCTAATTTTATATCTTCTGTATTAAACGACGCCCTTAGAAATTTAGTTTTCAAAAGTCACATTATACGTAAGTTCATATTGTATTTCGTTAGTCATATACAACACATCACATTCAGTTGTCTCCTTGAGAAGCATAGAACCACAAGTCATTGTGGTAGCTGTATATACGTTTTGTCCTTTGGTTGTGTTGTGGTACGATCCACCTAATTTACATAGTGGAGTATCGACCATATAAATATGGGTTGGTACCGGGAAGACAGGTAAGTAAGAAGAGATGCAATCCAGAGACTCTGCCAGACTGCGACTAAGTCAACCCATTCTACAGGAACGGTCTTCCCAAGAATATACCAAAACTATCTGTAAATATTGTGTACACGTTCTTATGTCAATACATTTTGTTGAAGTACATGTTGTGTTGTATTATTATTATTCCATGCTTTATTCAAATTTCAACAGGTTGCTTCTCCCAAACCGTGTTCCCCCATCCAATTTCTCACGCCTGTTAAGTATGTCACCCGTTGATTTCCATCGTCTCTCTTTCCCTCTATCCTTCCTGTGAGTATCAGATTTTTCAAGCCCTCTTTTTTCATTACGTGTCCCAGCTGCCTCTTCCTGATGTTAGATATAATTTTCCTCTTTGTTTCCATTCAATTGAAATCCTTATCGTTGCTCCCATTTTAGGCCTACTGTTTCTTTAGCATCCTTCTGTAGAACCACACATGTTGCTTCGAGTTCTTTATTCACCTTTGACGAGATTGTCCAGCATTCTCTGCTATACAGGAGGATAGATATCAAGTCTCAGTTCAGTACTTTTTTTTTTTGTTTGTTTGCAACGTAACTTTCTTGTTTCGTCATACTCTGCTTAACTTTTGGAATGCATTTTTGGCCATCTCAATACGACTTCGTTCTCAGTATCGCACTTTCTGTCTTCTGTCAGAATATTTCCCATATATTTAAATTTATGTAACTGCCTGATTGTAGGGCCCCCGCTCTGTAAATCGCATTTTGGGCTAATCTTTTGCTGATTATCATGCATTCTGTTATTTCGTAGTTTATTTCCTTTCTTCTTGCTCTTCTTTGCTACCTTCTGTAGGAGGTTTTGTAGTTTCCTTTCCGTGTCCATATCAGCATTGTGGCATATGCATAACCTATATTGTTAAGATTGTGACCGCCAACGGTGATTGCCGGTAGGATTTCTATTTTTTTCGGAATCGACTCGATGTATTGGTTGAATAAGTCCGGTGAGAAGACCCATCCTTGCCTTACACCGTTTTTCCTTTTCTGGATATCTGCTGAACTAATTGTTATCCGTATGCAGGCGGTTTCTCTCCAAAGCCTAATTGTTGCTCGGTTCATGTAATGCTGTGCATCCTTCTCTAGAACAATACCTCTGTTGAATCGAGTCACTTCTTCATCATTGAGGAGACCATCCAGCATTCATTGTCGTAAAGGAGGACAGATATAACAGCGGTTCAGTACTCTTTTCTTTGTTACCAACGACACCCTCCTGTCTCGTAATACTCAGCCTAGCTTTTGGAATGCATCTTTGGCCATTCCAATACGTTTTCGGATCTCAGCTTCTCACTTTCCGTCCTTTGTCAGAACAATTTCCGCACCTGCTTGGTTGTAGTGCCCCTCCCGACCTGTAAATCGTATTTCGGGCTCATTTTTTTCCTGATGGCCATGAATTCTGTCTTCTTGTACTTTATGCTTAGTCCCATCTTCACGTTCTCTTTGCTACCTTCTGTAGGGTTTTTTGCAGTTTCCTTTCCGTATCCATATCAGCACTGTGGCATCTGTATAACCTATGTTGTTAAGATTGTGGTCGCCAATGGTGAATCCCATTAGGATTTTTATTTCTTTCAGAATCGATGTACTGGTTGAATAAGTCCGGTGAGAAGACCTATCCTTGCCTTACACCCTTTTTCCTTTTCTGAATATCTGCTGAACTAATTTTTATCTGCATGCAGGCAATTTGCTGCCAGCAGTGATTTTTTATTATTCTGATTTCTTTCCTGAATACGTCAAGGTTGCTGGGCAGAGCTTTGCGAAGTAATTTGTCGAACGCCTTTCCGTCGACGATAAAACACAGATAAACGTTCCTCTGCATTTGTCTGGCTCATTCTGATAACATTCTCAGCCCAAATATCGCGTTCCTTATTCGGGCTTATTTAACGAAACCGACTACTCAGTCGTAATTGATCTAGTGATGAAAATTTGTTAAACATTACAATACGTCGAAGTGCAAATCTTAAGCAAAATGGGTAACGGAATAAGTTTTAACAAAAAAGAAAACAAATAGAGAAAATCTATTCAGAGCTGCAAACGTGAGGGAAATATTTTGGAGCCATGATCGTCAACATCATCGACGAACACGCTTCTTTCAAGGAAGAAGTTTGGGAAGATATAAAACTGCATAAATACAAAAACTATCTAACAGAAAAAATGAAAAAGCGAAAGATAAATTTGTGAAACTAAATTAATAAAAACACAATGTCAGAATGGATACAAGAACAATATTATGAAATATGATATGAGATAATACGCTGACCGGATAAATGGTGGAAAAAAAGAAAAAAATAACAAAGGGAAAATTTAAACAGAAAAGAAGCAACGAAAAAACAAAGAGAGAAATGATGAAAATAATAACAAAATTGATACGTGAATAAACACGCAACGCGGATAAAGTAAAAGAAAAATTCGAAAATGAAACACTAAAAGAAACGTACTATATAAAAATAAATAAAAAAATAATTACATTATAACGAAGAGAAATAATACGAAAAAGAAAACTAACAAAAATATATATTAATTATAGAAGAAAATATTGAAAGAAGCAGAAATATATGAAGAAAAAAGGATAGGCGTAAGAAAAATGTCGAAGAATTAATAAAAGCTATGAAAGATAGAAAACATGAAGATTAGAAAATGTTCTAGAAGGAACTAAAGGGGAAAAAGAGAAAGGGTAATGGATGACAATAGAAAGGAAAGAAATAAAGAAAAAATGTGAAAGAACGGCAGAGAAAAAAGAAGGAAAAAGATAGAAAAAAAAGAAAGAAAAAAGAAAAAGGAAGAAAAAAAGATAAATATAGAAAACCAGAAAAAGGAAGAAAGAAAGAAAAAGAAAGAAAGATACAAGTACGAAAACAAAAAGAAAGAGAAAGCGAAAAATATAAATGAAAGAAAAAGAGAGAGAAAATGAAACGAAAAAAGAAAAAGAAAGGAGGAGAAAGTGAGTGAAAAAAAAGGAAAGGAAGAAAGAAAAGGTAAGAATCAAAAGAAAGAAAGAATGGCAGTTAGAAAAAAGAAAACATGATTCCAATTCATTAGGATGAATGAACCGAAATAATATAAAAGAAAATATAATTAAAGGCTCGAAATAATAAGAAGCAAAATAAATAAGAAGGAAAAGAAAAAGAAACGAATGAGATAAAGGAATAAATGAGAGAAAAGAAGGAAATACAAGAGAAAATAAAAAGAAAAAATACAAATGATAATAAAATGATTGAACGACAAAGAGTGTGAAGAAAATCACGAGAAGAAAAAACGAATCTTAGAGCGAGTGTCAATGAGAATGGAAAGGAAAAAAATTCTAACTAGCAGTGAAAGAAAAAATAATCATCACAAAAAAGGATGTGGTTTTTGTTTTCCAAAATTAAAAAAAAAACGACACTAATAAAAAAAAAAAGCGCGAGAAACGAAACAGAACGGGAACAAAAAATATACTAGTAAATAAAAAATAAAGGGACACTTAAACGAAATGAGTGTAAAGAAATAAGATTACAAAACAATTAGAAGTAATAGATAAATAAATAATTCAATCATAGAAAAAAACAACTTAAACATAAGAATTTAGACTCGTTCCTATTTGCGTAAATGCGACCCTGAAGATTTTCTATCAGCAATATGGGCGAACATTCGTGATTACTTACTTAAGTCTTTTCTTATTTTAGCAGTGGTGAAGGTCTAGAGCAGCCCGAGGTGAATATACATGTGGTTCTTTTCGTCAGTGTCAGGATGCTCTTATAATACCCTTTTCTTTTTGGCGTATGTCAAAATCTTCGCTTCACGAATCAGGAGTAATTTTCAAAGTTCTGTGATTCATTTGCTCTTTTTAAATTGCAGTTGACTCGACGTGGTGTAATGGTTAGCAAACTTGTCTCGGTAAAATAGTTACGACAGAATAGCGAGTTCCGTCCTCCCGAGTGCTTAATATTTTCAGCCTTGTGCCACATTTACTCTAAGTAAAACAATATATTAATCACCTATCTGTCATTGTTTTTACCAAGAATTCAGGCTGAATAGTTATGAAGAAATCCAATTGATATTTGAGATGAAAGAAATATGAGACACGAAGGAATAATACGTTGACACTGCTTCGTCGATGTAAATTCAAAGACGCAGACGAGGGTAAGTGCGACACTGAGATACATAGGCGTATTGGGATGGCCAAGGACACATTCCAAAAGCTGGGTAGAGTACTGCCAGAGAGGAGGATATATCTGGTAACAAGGAAAATTAATAATGAACAGTTACGTGACATCTGCCCTTCTTTAAGGCAGTGAATGTTGGACGATTCTTCAAAGATGAAGAAGAGACTCGAGGCGACAGAGATGTGGTTGTAGAGAATAATGCTAAGGATATCATGGACCGAGCGTGTGAGCAACGATGAGATCTTAGATAGGTTGCAAACAAGGAAGAAGCACTTAATAACAGGAAGAGGCAGCTGAAGTTTCTGGGACACATAATGAGGAAGGAGGTCCTGGAGAATCTGATACTCACGAGTCGAATAGAGGGAAACATAAACAAAGGAAAACAACGCGTGACATACCTGGCGGGTTTAAGCAAGGGGATGACAGAACGTGGTCTGGGGGAGGAAGCAGAGGGAAGGAAGTTGTTGAAAGCTACAAGGGATAGAGGGAGGTGGAGAGACATGATCGACTACGTCCTGAAAGAGCATGGCTCATAAAAAGAATAAGAAAGCTAAAAATGACACTAATTCTTTACAATAGAAACGTTTTCTTCAACACTAGTAAAAATAAGCAAAAATAATAACACTATTTCTGATGAAAAAAAATGTTCGACTATGAATAATACAAATTACCCTCCCTAAACAAATGTTCTCGTGTTCACGAAAAAGAAGTTATCTGTTAACTATTCAGACAGTATTTGGATATAATTTAAGTTTTCAAATAGCATTATCGTTTTGTTTGCTAAAAGAAGCTATCGGTATTCACGATGAATAGAGGCGACATCAGGAACCTCAGCGTGGTGTAATGGTTAGTAAGATTGTCTCAGTAAAACAGTTACGACTGAATAGTGAGTTCGACCCTCACTGTGTGCACAATACTTTCGACCTTGTGCCATATCTAAGCTACGCTTAGAAAACCTTTAATAGAAGCGACATAAATAGTACGTTAAAGTAAACAATCTGTATAGTGATTTTCTAAGCGTGGCTTAGATGTAACTCAAGGCCGAAAGTATGGGGTACCCAGTGAGAATCGAACTCACGACTCAGTTATAACTGTTCTAGCGAGGCAAGCTTGCTAACCATTACACCGCCTCGAGGTGTCCCAGTAAACGCTCTGTATACGACTTTAAAATAAACGATCTTAAAAAAAAAAAACGATTAAAAGTGGCTATTTGTATTTTGATATTATAACGATAGTTCGTGAATTTGGTGACATTGTAATCGTGAGTTCAATCCCCGGGCTGGGCAGTATATACGTTGCATCAGTGGAAAGGGGTGGGAGCAAGCAATAACTGAGCAGAACTAATAATTAAATCGATGAGATATCCATAAACATATGTAGCAGGGGCGTACCGAGGCAAAGTGCCTCCCGGAACCAGTATTCACAATGGCACCCAATTTTGGGGGAGAAAAAATATAAATAAAATACCGTTAATGGCGCTGATTAGTATTTGAAAAATAATAAATTAAAAAATAACTGAACAAACGTTATCATATTCTAACCTTTCGAGCTTTTGCAGAAACAAAGTTACTAATAAATTGGTCAAAGTCTATCTTCTCTTTAATTCCATGTTCAATTGAAATGAAGGGCAAATTTGGATAAGCGATCTTGCGATATACTCGATCTCATATGACTTTTAATCAGTTTCAATTTTGAGAAGCTTCTCTCCACAGTATCAACATAAACTGAGAGCCTCAAAAACGATCACAATGTTTGGCAATCTTTCTTGAATTTTTCATCGATAATTCCATCTCAGCCATTCGATAACCGAAAATTTAGTCCCCATGGTCATGTCAGGTTCCACTTTGGAATCTGCCACTAAAAAATCCCGTAATCCGAAGATAGTCTAACTCAGCACCGATTTCGCTACCGAGATTATTAAATTTTCGCTCCAACTTGCTTTAAGTATCTTTCACGATTTCTTGCAATGATAATCCAGCGAAGACAGTTTGCAGATGAGACATGGAGCCAAATCGTGCTTCCAGTTAATTTACAAGTCGATCATAACATTTGTAGATTTTTCTCTTTACTTCCTGCAAAAGTGTTTGACATAAATCATCTTCCTTTTCCCCAGGTAGCTTTCTCTTTCTTTTAATTCGCTTTTCAACTTGAATTTCCATTTCCTCGCACTTTCCTTTACGTTGATTAACCAATTCAGTCACCAACCTGGCCCTCTTTCGGTTAAATAAGATTTTGGTCACATCTGTATGTGTTACACACACGTCCAAACCAACACCAGGTTCTTGAAGTTTATATTGGATGAGATTTATTTGTCACAGAATTTCTTCCCAGTATAAAAAATGTGGCATTAAGGAGAAGTTCTCAATTGAAATCTAAAGGATTTGTGCATCGCCCATCATTTGAAGATTTTCTGAAGCTGAGGTTAATTAATCGAGTGCCTGAATCACTCCTTGAAATACGGTTTTCACTGCATGAATAGCTTGTAAAGTGCACTCCAAAGGTAGTTACTATACGCTTCATCATGATCTTCAAATGCGAAGATAGAATTTCTCACCGGCGATTGGAAGAGGAGAAAAATTTATAGTCTCTCAACCACTATTAAAAATGTAAAGACACTTGCATTCACAGCTGAGGCATGAACAACGCATAAATTCAGACTATGACTAGAACATGACACATTTAGTTTTCACAGTTATGTTTCGTAGAAACTTTGATCAACACCATGAAATCCAGCCATACTAGCCACATCGTCAAATCTTATCCCTCTACATTTTTTGAAATCAAGTTTCTCTTTCTCCAGTTGATCCATAATCATCCTCTTCATATAATAAGCTGGCTTCCAAGGCTCAGTGATAAAACCAAGAAATGATTCCCGTTCCGCCAGTTCTTTGTCTTCAACAATGACATATCGACAAATTAAACTCATCTGAGCAGTATCAGAAATGCCCGGCGTGCTGTCTTGCATGATCGCAAAATAATTGGCTTTTCGAAGTCGATACAGTATATTTTCCTTTACGTAGTTTCCGAAAATATAAATTAATTACATTTTGGATTTTCGATGACAAGTACCGCCGGTTATCATATACTTCTTTCAATTAATTCTTTCCAATAACAGGATCATACTTGCTCATAATTTCAACAAGTTCAATAAAAGTACCTTTATTGGAACGATATACATATCGATGACCTCTATTAGGTACCTTCTATTTTGTCAAAAAGTTCACGACGTCAAGTAATCGTGTTAAAACCTATCTCCAAATCTGCCTTTCTTTCATAATTTGTTCTTGTAATTTACTGTCAAGGGTATTAAGGTTAATTTCCAACATCTTACATTCCTTGAAAGCTTTTTTGTGGTCAGACGAATTTTTATATTAAGGCATTTTCGAATTAAGCTTTCATAACTTTTGAAATCCTGGATTTCTTACTAGACTTGATATGCGTTGCTGTGTCTTCAGGTAGAGGCGACAGCACAAACAATGAGGAGATCTGTTCGTCTTTGAGTACAGCAACCATGATCTCAATTCTCCTTAATTTTGTAAAACCATTGTTGTAGCATTAACATCGGACTATTGTTCTTCCGTCTTACAGTCGGAGCAAACAGTTTATCTTTGTTTTGAAACTTCTTAGGTCACTATGTTACACGATCAACACGCAACTGCTCTGAGCAAGTACGTGGCCAAAATGCGATGCCTTCTTACGTTGCAACCTCTGTGTTTGCCTGTTCTATTTCTTTATTTCCAGGAACTTCATCAGTTTCTTCTTCATATTCATACCTGTGCTTACCGTATGGACTGGAGCTCTCTTTCTTTGGCACATCATCATCGTCACCTTCAATTTCGTTTACAACGTTGTTTCTGTATTTGTCTCCATCATATTTGAAATTTCTCCATGCCACCACACCTCGTTCTGATGTACGTTCAGCATCTTTGTCTTTGCATTAGGTACATATTTCTTCTGTAGGAAAACATGTAAGGAAGCAGCACATTTTCTTTCCTCGCGTTCTCTGGCAGTTTCAACTAGCTGCAAGCTGCAGCATTCAGTTTGGGCCGTTTACTCATAATCGATGAACAAAAATAGAACAAGAAACAAATAGGAAAAGACGTGCCGTTGCCTCCCTCTGTCTTTTTTACAAATACTTTAACGGTAACTGCTCCGATGAGCTGCTTTCGCTGGTTCCCAGACTTCATGAATTTAAGCGTCCAACGAGGCTGGCATCCCGCTCTCACCTGTTGAAATTTGGCTTGGTAACAACCAAATTCGGCGCAAAAAAAGGTTGGGAAAAAAGAAAAAAAAACAAAATGAGGCGGGAAAAATAATAGTCAGATGTTTAAAGTTCACTGTTATAACTTGAAAATGACTGCCAGAAACGTCCATTTGGCGAGCCCTTAAAAAGGACTCCAACAACAGTTCAGAGAGAGAGAGAGAGAGGTAAAGAGATAGCAGAAAGAGGGAAAAAAATTATGCTTACTGTTCGAAAAAAAAAAATTGCTTTAGAATTTTTATTTTTTTTTAGTAGCTGGGCAGAAAGTATTTTTTTGGATAATTTGAGTTGCTGTCTTTGGAAGATAAGCAAGATGGTGGAGAATCCGGGTTAAGAATAAATGCAGACTTTGGTCCCTTGGTAGCTGAACAATAATCCTCGTCGCAAGACATGACGACTTAGTCTTCACACTGCGAACACCCTTTTTCTTTCAGAGCAACAGCAGGTTCTCGTCGCAAGACAAGAACAGTTCGTCTTCACACTGCAAACACTTTTTCTTTCAGAGCAACAGCAGGCTCTTCAAGCAAGTTCCGTCGCAAGACAAGCCGACTTCCTTTCAGAGCAGCAACAGGTTCTGGCTACTACTGACTAGATTCTTTTTTTTTTTCTAGTCGATAACAAGCGGGAAAATCACGTGCGACCAATCGTTAGGCACGATTTCGCCACGTGACACAGCAGCAGCAGTTCTTACACTGCACACATGGGGGAAAGAAGAGGAGGAAGGAAAGTAAGAGAGATAGAAAGATAGATAAATAAATTTCTGACACACCTATTCACTGTCGAAACTGTTAAATGTAGCCGTCTCTTCTACTCCAATATCTTTATGTCTCGCATTTCTCACCTGTGGAACTCCCTCCCACTTTCTTGTTTTACTGATAACCATAATCTCTAACTATTTAAATGTAACGTCAATCGACGTCTCCAGATGCCCTGATCTACCCCCTAACCGTCTCTTCATTCTTTCCTCTATCACTCCTCTTTGTTCTCGCTCCTTCTCTGAAGAGCTTTGCCTGCTAATGGCTTCCCGCCTTGCTTGGGGTTCAATGCTTAAAAAAAAGGAAAAGGACATACTCAGCGACATAGGGAATTTATATTTATTGTACTAAAATAGAATTTGGCACAATGCTGAAAGTGGGGTTGAAAAAAAATCGTTAATAATTTTTTAACTATCCCGAACTTAGCTAGACATATTCGTGACGCATTCGCATATTATAATGGCATAGAGAAGTGTTCATTAAAATAGAAGTATATTACAGGAGTTTATCCTATACAGCCAATGATTGGTTAAATCTTTTATTAAATTCATTTTTTAAAATTTACTATCCTCTTTTTTGCTTATATATTTTTCTTATTCCTTTTTTATTTCATTCTTATATTTAATATAATTTAAAAATGAAACCATAGTAAGGGTCGTGATGAAAATAACTAAACATTAAAAATTTGTATTAAAACAATAATAAAATTTTATAACAAATATTCACCATTGACACTTGCATTATTGTTATGGTCCTGGTTAGTACCAAGGAAGAACAACAGGAACACAAGACTAGAAATAACGAAGGTATATTACACGAAATAATAATACAAGATGTGTAAGGTGTTAGTATAACTACTACTATCGGCTCGACTAGATTCGATATTTACTTCCCCCCGCACCTCACGAGGGAAAGATTTGGCACAAGGTCGAGTTTAACGTGGGTTTCCCGAGCCCGTAGGCTCGGCCAAAAATGCCCGTAGAAACTGTAAAAACAGAATCGGTTTGGTCACCCTCCCCGAACAAGGCTCTGCCCTTCGGCTGAGCCTCGTCCGGGTTCCTCTCTGCTCAGAGGCAGAGAGTTCGACCGTTAAGCCGAGAAGCTCGGCTTGATTCGACCCTCTCTCTTGATAGGCGTATTATACATAGTGTTAGGAAGAGTTAATTCTGTAGTTATATGTAAGGACACATGACACAATCTAGCTCTCTCTCTCTCTCTCTCTCTCTCTCTCTATCTATCTTATCTATATGTTATGGTCCAGGTTAGTACCAAGGAAGAACACGAACACAAGAGTAGAAATAACGAAGGTATATTACACGAAATAATAATACAAGATGTGGAAGGTGTTAGTATGACTGTCAGTCTGGTTGGAGTGAACTTCTATCGGTTCGACTCGATTCGACCCTCTCTCTTCAGAGGCGTAGTATACACAGTGTTAGGAAGAGTTCATTCTTTAGTTATAGGTAAGTACCCATGATAATTATACATTAATTTATCCTCCAAAGAACTGACTGACAATTAACAAAGTAACTGCCCCACTCATTATTTTACCGTTTGTATACTTCTTTAACTTTAGGGCGTTGTGAAAGATGGTAAAGAAACTAAAGTAATAAGGAAATATGTTTTTGATTTTAATTTTCCGCCCAAAATTTGGTTTGGAAAGAGCGCAACTTAAAAAAAGGACCAATTATATTTCTCCATAATTATAATCTTAAAAAGCTTAAGACTTCAAAGAAGGAGACGATATTTTTTATGTCTACAAAGAACATTAGTCTCAATGAAAAATCTTTCTTATTTTTTTTTTAATATATTTAAATTTCGAAAAATAAGCTATCCTACATTGGGTAGTTTTAATAACACATTTTAAATAGATGAAATAAATCTTTATTTAATTACAAATATTTGAACTTAGGCAGAAGCGTTCGAAAGATCTCAAAATTCTCTGTAAAAGTTTCGAGGAAATAAAATGTAGGTAAATTGCATCAGAGGAAATTAATTTTGGATACATCCAAAGAAATGCTCTACTCAAAAAAAAAAAAAAACACTGTATAAGAATTCCGTTTTTGACACAAAATTAAAATTTTCAAATAACTTTTTCAGTGTTCAGATCATAAATTTAATTCATTTTTTCATTTGGCCTTATCATTTTTGATTTTTCTAGAAATGTAAAAATTAGCGATTGGATTTTTTTTTATTCACATGACCAAACATTGAATCCCTCTTGTTAATTGTTAAATAATATTTCCTCAAATGTTATTTCTTTTTAAATCAAAGAATCTATTCATTATAAAATGAATTTATGAATTAATAAAATACCAAAAAATGTCATTAGAACCTCAACGTGTTCACAACTGACCATGAAAAAAATAATTCTATCATTTTATTTTTAATAAAAATAATTTTAAAACAATCCAAAATTATTTAGTTCAATTATCGCAATAGAAAAACATGATGGGACGGCAAATATATATCTTGGTTATAAAAATTTTAAAATATAGTGGGGATGTGTCTTGGAATATCACGTAGTGGTTTTGTATCTCGGTTAGAGGTCGCTCACAGCAGGCCAGCTCAAAGTACCAGAATAACAGAGAGTCGCCCGAGGATATTAAAAGTTGCGGTCGCCAACAGGGCGGAATGTCATGTGATTGTGATCTTCCAAACAAAAAGAAATGAAGGTGAAAATAAATAATTAAAAAGACTAAATATTAAATCTCTGTTTTGAAAACTAAATATTAAATTTCTGTTTTATTATATAAATATAAATGATTGCGTCTTCAGTTTTGTTTTACCCGCAAATACCGTTCCTATAAAGTGACGCCCGAGTTCCGGGGCCCGAGTTCCGGGGCCCGAGTTCCGGGGCCCGAGTTCCGGGGCGGAGTTCCGGAGCCCGAGTTCCGAGTACCGGGACCCGACTTCCGGGGCCCGAGTTCCGGCGCCTGGGCCCTGGATCATCCGCCTACACCCACTTTCACGCCTGGTCCGCCACCGATGTGTAGTGAAACAATCTACCGCGAAGATTTCGAAAATCTCAGCGTATTACCCGGATGAAATTGCATCTGATAAAGCCGGGATGTCATAGCGGTGGCAACTTTGTGATGCCAAGAATAATGAAAAGACAGATAGACAGAGAGGGTAAGATCTCCGAGTCTAGCTGAGTCGTGATACAGTCTTTGACTATAAGCGACGTCTGTCGAACTCTCTGCGTTAGCAGAGAGGAACCCAGACGAAGCTTTGCCGAAGGGCAAGGTTTCGTTCGGGGAGGTAGACAGGGCCTGAACCCGTCTAGGCGTGTTCAAAGGCTATATTTTTGGCCGAGCCTTATTCACTACTCGTGGGTGGATCGATAAATAATATGACAAGAATAATGAAGCCACTAGTCTCCATGTAAATAGTATTAAGAATGGTATCTGTATATTTGGCATGAAATAGAATCTGCAGACTTAAAATAGACCACACCTAAGCTTGGTGAAAATAACATTTATCTATACTCGGTTAAAATAGGCGATATATAAGCAAAGTGAAAATGGGTTATCTATATGGTAATTTAGTATAGGCTCACTTTTTGCTTGGATAAAATCGACTATATGCAACCAAGGTTAAAATATAATATCTGAATGCTTGGTTAAAATAAACAATCTCTAATGTATGTTAATATATATATATATATATATATATATATATATATATATATGTGTGTGTGTGTGTGTGTGTGTGTGTGTGTGTGTGTGTGAAAATATATAGAAAATAGGAAAAGAACTGGTTAGGTAAATAATCCAAAAAGTTCCTTAGTATTTTAGTTATTATTTTTGAAAAAAATAGTGCTCGATACAAAAGTAGAGCATAAACATAATTATTTATTTAAAAATATGATTCCAACTCGCGACATAAGAGGTCTCATGATTCAAAACAAGAGCCGAAAACTTCAATATAATTATTTGAATTAAATTGTGTTAAAACAAGCTCTGTTCCATCTTCAAGCGAAATTTTTTTTTTTTTGAATAACGTAATTCTGAAATTTACGTGTTTTACTAATTGAAATCAAAATTTCCATGGTAACAGCTAGGGCGAATTGTTTAAATTGGGTAGGCGTGCGTTGGGTGTTAATAATAAGTATCAGTATAGAGTTACTTTCATAGATGTCAAGTAAGCATGCTCAAAATATGAACTCTCCATGTATGGTTAATATAGACTCTCTGTATACTCAGTTAAAATAGGCGATCCGTATGGTAGGTTAAAATAGACTATACGTAAGAACAGTTAAAATAAGATATCTGTATGGTCGGTTAATATAGGTGACCTGTACACTAGGCTAAATAAGGCGATCTGTTGGTTAGGTTAAAGTAGATGTGTAAAGACGGTTAATATGCTCACTGTATGCAGGGTTAAAATAGGATATTTGTATGGTACTCTAAAATAGACGAAATTTAATCCTGGTCAAAATAGGATCTCAGCATAGATGTTTATTATAGGCTCTGTGCATGCTCGTTTAAATTAGGCGATACGTATGGTAGATTAAAATAGACTATATATTAGAACGAATTTAGGTAATAAGTGGCACGGTAAAATGGCACAGGTAAAAATGGCACGGGTAAAAATGTCATAATGGGAAAATGGGAAAAATGGTACAAAACATACAGGACAAAATGAAAGGCACACGTTATTTATTCTGTAAATTTTGAAAAAAAATATATAAATATCGAAATTGTAACTGTCTAATACGACGGCAGTTGATTCCTTGTTTAGTTGTCAGTGATTTTGTTGTCAGTTGTTTAAATGCCAGAATTCTGGTTCAATTATTCAACAGAGCACACAACTAAAAAATATCGCACTGATTCTTGGATCAGAAATTGATTCAGTTGTCCTGGAGCCGCCAAGCACACCATTGATATTAGTGGCTCTATCACAAACCCATCATAGAAATTATAGGAAGAAATGGAAGTAAAGAGTTTTGCTTCCAGGGGGACATGTAAAAAAAACAGATTGCAAGATCAACTACTGTCAGATGGAGATGTTAAGAGAACATCTTTTTGTAAAGGTACCCTAACCACCAGCATTGATATGACTTGATTCTCTACAAGCTAAAAAACCACAACCACGCTCCTGATTATTCAGCTATTGCATCCAGGAAATGCATCAAGAAGATGAAGAGAACAGCCAGAAACTAAGCCAGATTTATAGCAATAACCTGGATGGCTTACCAGCTGAGGCAATGAGGATGACTTATCAGCTGATCCTGTACTCTGGCCACCAGCCTTCACATGACGGATCCTGTACCATGACCATCAACCTTGATATGACTGTTCCTGTACCGTGACCATCAACCTTGATATGACTGATCCTATACCGTGACCATCAACCTTGATATGACTGATCCTGTACCGTGACCATCAACCTTGATATGACTGATCCTGTACCGTGACCATCAACCTTGATATGACTGATCCTGTACCGTGACCATCAACCTTGATATGACTGATCCTGTACCGTGACCATCAAACTTGATATGACTGATCCTGTACAAGCCATTTTTACCTGTTCCATTCTTACCTCTGACATTTGTATCTGTGTCATTATTAATGTGCACATGTAAGTACATTTAATATATATACATACATACACACACACACACACACATATATATATATATATATATATATATATATATATATATATATATATACTTGATCGATATAATCGATTTGTATGCTAAAATAAGCGATATGTTTGTTAGGTTAATAATACGATCTATATGATAGGTTATATCTTAGGTTAATAAGACGATCTATATGAAAGGTTAAAATGAGAATTTTGACGATTTTTTTAAATAGCCGACAAATTAAAATAGTATGTCTGCAAACTCGGTTAAAATCGGCCGTCTTTAATGTTGGCTAAAACACACGATACATAAGCATGTTTAAAATAAGATCTCTCTCTCTTTCTCTCTCTCTCTCTCTCTCTCTCTCTCTCTCTCTCTCTCTCTGCATAGTTAACTATATGTTTCATATATGCTTGGTTAAAATAGACGATATGCATGCTTGGGTAACATAGGCGCTATATCTGCAGGTTTAAAACTGGATGTCTGAAAGCTAGATTAAAACAGGTGTTTTGTAATGTCGGTTAAAACAAACAATAATCCAACATGGTTAAATTGGAGTTCTGTATGCATAGTCAGTATAATCTCTCTGTATGTCCGATTAAAATAGGTGATCTCCATGTTAGGTTAAAACAGGCGATCCGTAAGTTAGGCTAAAATATGCGATCTGCAGGTTAGGTTAAAATAGATGATATGTTACCATGGTTAAGCCAGTATCTGTGCATGCACGGTTAATATAAGCTCTGTATGCTAGGTTAGAATAGACGATATGTTAACCAAAATTTCCTGCAAAACTGATAAATGCTATTCGCTAAGCTATTTAGTAGAACTGCATTGGAATCTTACCAAAATATATGTTCCCTTGTGCATTAGAATCATGGGTCATAATGGATCGAGACATCGCCTGAACAACAAAAAAACAAAAACAGTCGGCTGGATTTTTCTGTTTGTTGGTTTTTGTTTAGAGGCATGATATCGGTTATTTAATGTCGGAATACAAATAGAACAGTTTTATAGCTTCAACTAAAGATAAGATCTATTGTTAGCCATTTTGTTATAAAACGTATTGTTGGTAAATCGACTGTAAAAGATATTGATGGTCATTTTGCTTTGTTGGTAATTTTACTATAAATATATAAATATGTTAATTATTTATATCAAAATGTATTACTGGAATATTCAATATAAAATGTATTTTTATACTTTCAGAGGGTTTTAATTTTGATTGCGGGCTTTCATTATTTGCCCATCGCTATGAGAATCACATATATATATTCAGTTAAGATAGACAATCTGTAATCTATGTTAAAATATACGCTATGTATATATTGTCAAATAGGATCTATCTAAGCATAGTTAATATAGGTACACTGTATATTCGGTTAAAATAGGCGATATGTATTTTAGGTTAACATAGAATATATGTAAAAACAGTTAAAATAAGGTATATGCATACTCGTTTAATATAATCGATCTGTATGTTTCGTAAAAATAAGCGATCTCTTGCTTAGGTTAAAATATATGATATTTAAGCATGGTTAATATCGGCTTTTTGTATCCAAGGTTAACATAAGCAATCTATATGATAGGTTAAAAATAAGCAGTATGATACTTATGTTAAAATAGAAAATATATGAAAAAAGTGTGTCTGTAAGTTCGATCAATATAGGCGATTTTTTATGTAGGTTAAAACAGACGATATATAAGCATGGTTAAATTAGGTTCTGTCTATGCATTGTTAATTATATGTTATATATATATATATGCTCGGTTAAAAGAGCCGATCAGTATGATGGGGTAACAGGCGATATGTACGCAGGTTTAAAGCAGGATGTCTGCAAACTAGGTTAAAATAGGCGACCTGTAATGTCGGTTAAAATAGACTATATGTAAGCATGGTTAAATATGAATTTTGTATGGTTAATATAATTGCTCTGTATGTCCGTTTAAAATAGGTGTGTTGTATGCTAGGTTAAAACATGGTAATATGTACGTTATTTTAAAATAGAGGCTATGTAAGCATGGTTAAATCAGTATGTTTGTATGAAAGGGTTATATAGGCTCTACATACTGGGTTAGAATAGGCGTTATGTTAGCCAAAATTTTCTGCTCTATTGCTACATGCTATTTACTATGCTTTCCAGTATAATTTCACTGAAATCTTACCAAAATGTCTGCTTCTGTGCACTTTCGAAGCATGGGTTACAAGCCATTTTAATAAGAATTTCTTCCTGCAGGGATGTAATTAATCAAATCCCATTTCGGACGGTTATTCTTAAAACCACATAGAAGCACAATACACTTTCCGAGATTACACTGATACCCGTTTTGGCAATATATCTGAATTTTAAGTATCAGCTATCTTTCAATGCTTCAAGTAAAGAAAATAATTCAAGAATGTTGTACCGCATTAGTGTGATTGTTGATATTTTCTTATCAGTAATAAATCTTTGATAGCATTATCGACAGAGTTGGTTCTTTCTTGTCTTGATTCCCCACCTTTCAATATCATCGCACTAATTAAAAAAAAAAAATATACTATCGAGCCATAACATTAACCAGAAACGAAAACCACGGACGGGTTGATTTTTTTCTGTTGGTTGGTCTTGTTTAGTGACATAATATAGGTTATTTAATGCCAAAATCTAACTATTTTGAACTCAATATTATGGCTTCAAACAAACATAAAATGTCTTGTTAGTTATTTTGCTATAAAATGTATTAAGGGTAATTCTACAATAACATTTATTTCAGGTCACTTTGCTTTTAAATGTATCGTTGGTAATTTTACTATATGTATCGTTGGTGATTTTTTATATCAAATTGTATTGCTGGAATATTCATCATATTATTTCCATAGTAACGAATGAACATGCTTATAACGATACGTAAACTTCAAAATTGGTCATTCCTAAATTTTCGCTTGAGGATGAAACAGAGCTTGTTATTTAATTCAATTTAATTTTAATAATTATATTGATGGTTTCGGCTCCCGTTTTTGAAACATGAGAACTCTTATGTAGCGAAGGAATCATATTTTTTTAAAAATAATTATAATATATATATATATATATATATATATATATATATATATATACTTTCATAGTGTTTTGCTTGTATTTGAGTGTTCACTATTTGACCGTAGCTATGAACCTAACAGGTGCTACCACCCCGTCTGAAGATGGATCTGGTAACAACAGCAATTAAGAAGTATTCCATGCCCCTCAAATCCTTCCTGCTGGATGTAGTTTATCGTCATACCGTGGATCACGGACTGTTGTAATTAATAAAATGACCTGTCACATAATCCATCTTTGCAGGCAGACAACGTATAAAGGATTACACTAGACGATACCTGACTGGAGTGGGAGACGAACGACAGAAATAACTACGACCAACTCATACATCATTCATCGAAATGTATCTCTTGGCATCGTGATTAACGTCTAAAGTTTGTATTCGGCATACAGTGATCGAAATAGCCGATAGTATCACGGTATATCCCTCGTCTTCACCTTATAGTGTCTTTGTGAATGATTAATTATCTTCCACCCTACAACCTCTTTCCCAAAGAAGAATAGTCGCAAGCCTCTTTCTAGTCAATCGCTATTTCCATGGAAAATGTTCAGGAGAACTAAATTCCTTACTTCCACTAAAACCCGACATACTACGCACATTATCGCAAGCCACCCTCATTCCCTTCATATTCCATTTCATCAGAGGTAATTTCCCTTCCAGAGGCTTCCTACACCAAACCGGTGTTTTCAGAGACCGACTCCCAAGTGGATGCTTCCCCGATAACTACAAGCTTAACCTGGTCAAATCAATTCATCGTTTCCTTTACCTCATTTGCTCGTAAACTGTGTATTTTACTCTGAAACTCTCTACTTAGATTGGTGTTTTGTACACAGTGAAAGTTATTGTTAATAAGTAAATTGATTGGCTGGTTTACAAATGCAGGTTTCATTAAAAACTAGCAGTAGAGCCTGGCGTTGCCCGGGGATGTAACAGTAAGAGATAGATCAAGTATCGACCATCATAAAGACTGAAAATAAAATTGACAAAGATTATTGTTTAAGGTTGACGGACACGCATGTCTTAATTAGTTTTTATTTTGTTTTTTTTACAAATTAGTCAAACCCAAACTCAAACAAAAACTTTGTTTTCAATTGTTATGAGTCTATCGATTGAATAGAATTTTATTATAAACAATTGTCTTGTAAATGGAATTTTTAAAGCATTCTGAATGTAGAAATAAAGAAAAATGTGTGCAAGACAATAAGAAACCCTACCGGCCAAAAAAAAAAAAAGTGAAGTTTTGTTGAAATCGGGTGAAAAATGTAGGAAATCTGATCCCATGTATAAACGAACACACACACACACGCAAACAACCTGGGTTTTATAATAAGTATAACTCTATATGAGTTGTCTCCGTTTCATGCCGCGAAAGCGATGCCTCGTAATCGTGTTTTCAAATTGATTTCGTGCAAAAACAATTGTTTTTCCAATTTGGGGCGCTGTCAGAACCACCGCAAGGAGATTTTACGTAGTCCTGTGAAGATTTGTTGAAATCGGTTGAAAAATGTAGGAAATTCGATCCAATATATAAACGTACAGAAACACACACACGCACGTACACACACACACACAACCTGGGCTTTATAATAAGTATGATAAGCTTTTTTAAGGGTAATTCTACAATAACATTTATTTCGGGTCACTTTGCTTTTAAATGTATCGTTGGTAATTTTACTATATGTATCGTTGGTGATTTTTTATATCAAATTGTATTGCTGGAATATTCATCATATTATTTCCATAGTAACGAATGAACATGCTTATAACGATACGTAAACTTCAAAATTGGTCATTCCTAAATTTTCGCTTGAGGATGAAACAGAGCTTGTTATTATGAGCTGTTAAACGCCAGGCACTTATATGACTATTTACTAACTGATTATGTTTATGCGCGATCAAAAATGATCTGTCTTCATAAGTCTTGGGGAAATTTCCAGAAGTTAAGAAAATGGCCTCGAAGGGAAGGGATACCACGCGTCAATAAAGCATTAAAATATGTATAAATCTGCAATGAAACATCTTCTAGTTTGCCTCACTTTTGAAGATCCGTGTACAATTAGCGACCTTGAAACCTTAACAACACTGGCAAAGATCTTTATGCAATACGGGATGGGTGAGTTGTAGCGACTCTAGAAGAAGACCTATTAAATATATGATAAAATTATATTTGTTTAATAAGCCCCACCTCAGGTTTGTGCATATGCGATCAACACGCTTCAATTTGCATATTTTAAATTGATGGCAGTCAGAGTAAGAAAAATACCTGGGCCTCCTAAATAAGATAGTAAACAAAAGCGGAAAGAAATAACTATTAT